AAAGCACTGCTTTGCAGAAAACATTTACACAGTGTTACAGAACTGATGACTCAAACCTTTGTGTAACCTATTCAGATCACTGTTTTCCCCCCTTTATATGAGGAGCAAAAGTGCAGCTGTAGAGTAAAAACCTACCTCATAATCGTCAGAGTGGTCATATCCAGAGCAACTCTTGTCCCCGGTTTCAGCTTACTCTTGTCAAGCTAGTCACAAGGAAGGCATTTCTGTTAGAACCATACTCCAAAACAATGTCTGGTTTTAGCCAAGATGTTTACTGTAGCTTGCACTCTTTGCTCAATCACACACAAGAAGAAAACAAGGTTCCTGAGCCACAAGCCAAGCAGCTTGTTTAGTAAACACTGTGTTCCTGTCACCACCATTTTTGGGAACGCTTAAACTGGTAAAAAGCTGGCCCACTGTTTCATGGGAACATGATCTCGAGGAGTAATGATCCAGGAGCTGGCCTAGACCAATGAACCTGATGGCTGTCACAACTGGACACCAGCAAAGCTAAACCAGACCATGGCAAGAATTTTTCTTAATGTTGAAATAGATTCTGAACAGCAAGTCATTAACTTACCTCTACCACTTTTGAAAATAAATACAGCTTTCTAGACTGTAAATTTGTTTTTTTACTGCTCTCGATCTGACTGGAATAGTGAGAGATCTAGCCCTCCCCTCGGCTTGACACAGGGCAGAACCAGCAGGTCCCAAAAAAGGAAGCAATCCTCCTCTGAGGACGCAGGGAACAGCCTGCCCCCTTCAGTCTGACCTTTCCACCCTTCTACTCCATGGCTTTCTCACTTCTGGACTGACAGAAATGGTGAATAGATGTTCCTAATCTATTTTTCTCCAAGCCTGCCATCATTCGCACATTTTCACACATCCAGTTATACCCCATCTTCAAAGTCAGCAGCTCTAGTTCTTACTCTCTTGCTATCATTTACCTCAGATGCCCTACTCATCTGCCTCGCAGTTTTTGTCTGCTTATCCCATTTTTATGAGAATTTTAAGCATATTAGCAGTCCTATTCCAGTTCCCCCTGCTAAATTCTGCGGGGATTAAAACAACTAACTTGCATTTCTCACCTTGTTTTTAAGAAACCTGGTCTAGGAGAGCAGTTTCACCTCTAACACAACACAACTTTGAACAACGATCACAGAATTACCTTGCCACTCCAATTTCTTTTTTTTTCTTTTATTTTTAAAAAAAGGTACTTAATCCACATGTGAAGAACATGAAAGCTATTTATTCTGAGCTTTACTGACAGCTAATACCACCTCTTTCCAGCTGCCTAATCTTAAGAGATCTGTAAAAGCTTGAAATTCTATCAGATTCAACACTGCCCAACAGATTTAAGTGGGAAGAAAACAAAGAGATACCACTTGACCTTGAATTCCTTAGGAAATGCACTTCAGACAGGGAAGTAATTTGGTTTCAATTTAAACAGTGTCGCTCCCCTTCCTCAGCACAGGACTTTGATCAAAAGCCAGTTGTTCTAGTCTGTGAAACACTCCATATGGGAAATTATTTGCCTTAATATTTTGACATTTTGAAAGACAATCATGGATTTTTTTTTATGCTTATGTTTTTTTAATCTCTGGTACCAAATCAATGATCTTTTAAGATCAGAGTGTTTTTACTGAAGAATAAACTTGAAAGTACATGCTACAATGTCAGGCTCATCGAAGCACAATCTATTCCTTAGCATTCATCTGTTTCAGCACAGAACCTCAAGACTACCTCATGTGTCCCAAAGCCTAATTAAGTATACTTATCTTCCAAAAAAAAATATTTTGGTCGTTCTGGTGAAAGAAAATAGTGAGTGTGCCCCATAACGCCTTGAAAGGGATGAAGCTTAAAATGATGTATTTAAAGAGCATTTCAATATTAGCAATTGTCACAGATGTTTTATGCAAACAAAAGCATATCGCATCGGTATGCTCGGGGAAAGTCATGGATATCTGTGCATACACTACACAAACTAACGCACTTACAGGTACCCACATTTCCCAAACAGTTTGTCTCAAAAAGGAGGAGGAAATATCCATCCTTACTGAAAAATATACAGTCCATTGACAGAGCCAACACCATGTGAAAATACTTGGTGAGTTTTGCTCCCTGCTTACTGCTAAGTATTGTTAATTGTGGGCCTTCAGCAGGAATTTCTCTGACAGATAGAAACCCCTCCTTCCCCACTTCTTTTTCAGTTCTTCAGAGTACAGCAGGGTCCCCGCTCTGCCACTTGCTTGTTGCCTCTTGGCTCCTGCAACCACCACAATGCCATTATGGTTGAATCATCTAAATAGAGTTGGTTAACTTTTGTATGTTGGAGTTCCATTACATTGTTCTTCAATTTAACATCCACGTACAAACCTTAAGCTAATCCAGAGGTTCTGGGTACTGCAAAACATTCGCACGTTTGTCCTGCGAACACATTTTGTTTCCACAGAATCGGTAAGAGTTTAAAAATCTGTAATCGGCATCAGTTTCTCTTCAGGAAGACAAAAGAAAAGCACCTCTAACATGAATATCACCCCTGTGCTCCTTTCAACTGAAGGAGTATTTTTCATAAAACTTCCGTAAGATAGGAGAACACGCTACAAACGTGATGTGTTACAAGCTCAACTGAAGTTCTTTCTCCACCATAAAGGAATCCCTTAAAGAGGCACTGAGACTCCAAAGCTGTTAAAAGATCTTACTTATTTGTGCATTAAAATAACTAAATAAAGTGCTGCTGCCTTCTCAGGATACACAATCCTTCCCTGGGGTCACTGTTCCCTGCTCAGAAATACTTTACAGTCTCACATTTTATAAATATTATTCTTTGCTTCCATTTCTTAAAGTCAGGGATGAGTGTAATGAAATCTAACTAGAGATTTACTTTTGCCCCCCCAATGGCTCTGCAGCTGCAGAACACTTTCACTAAGTATTGTGGTTCCTACTTCATAGGCAGCTTTCGTAAGGAACAGCCCGATCTATGGGGTTTAGTTCCTTAAGTGGGTCACATTCAGTGCTCAATTAACCAACAAGCAGTTTAAACCATGTCTGCATTACATCCCTTATACTTTTGTATAAAAATAAAACACAAAGAGTACCTCCTTCTGGCTGACTGTAGCAGAAGATAGATTATGATGTAAGCAAGGTTCTGTATTAAACTAAGTTCTGAAGATTTTGGTGTAGGTAAAAAAGCTGTTGCCTTGTGAAACAGAAGTGACAATTCTTTTTTTAAGATAATACGGACAAATAAAAATCCCTCAGAGCGTTTAGGACAGGGGCCTTGCCTACCACCATTACTTATTAGAGTAAAAGCATTAGAAAAAAAATACATAAAGATATATAACTAACTCTAAAGCTCAACATTATGACAGTAACAGTCATGTTCACAACATAGCAACGGAGACCCTACACAGCTGATTCACTTTCATAGCGATGACAAATTTTCAGAGTTGAAAATCTGGCAGAAAGACAGAGCTTCAACTCAACAAAAAGAATAAAACCCATACAAGGTTCCAGGAATGTTGTGGACCCCTGTGTCTTTACTCGTTACACTACTACCAGCTACAAAGGGAGGGGGTGGGCAGATACCAGTATAAAACAGCTGTATACACCTTAAAGAAGAAAATGCTTAATCCCACTAAGGGCCCAGTTTATGAAAAGCAACACCAATACTCAAGACCAAAGCAAACTTTTAGTGAATTTTCACAGAGATCAGCTACCTGACGACGACAGCCAACCACGTATCTTGGTCCATTTGTAGCCTTCACAATGACTGGAGAGAGAAGATCAAAGCAAAAAAATCAAACTTACTTGATTGACTGATCTGAATTATGCTTCTGAACTATCCGGTATATTATTCCGCCAGTACTCAGATCACCAATACTCTAAATTCTTTACTCCTCCAAATCTTTAGCCAGATTTTAACTACAAAATCTTATTTTCAAGATCTCAAAGAACATAACAGTCCAACATACTTACATTTCTCTTCTGTTAGCTGTTTAAGAACCTCGCCAACAATCTGCAAAATAATAAAATGCAGTATTAGCAGATAAATTACCATTGCAAAACAACATTTAATGTGTTAATATCACATGTAATGTAACAAAGAAATGTAAATGTAAAATGGAAGATGGCTGTCAGCTTCAAAACTCTGGTGTTTCACGTTGTTTGCCAGCACTTTTATTTCCTTTAACACATGCCTGCCAGCCACGACAAACACAGAAAACCTCTCTAACCCATATGATGTTGCTGGTGGTGAGGCCCGGTTCCTGTTAGCTGTACCATTCCCACCGACTCTTTCTCGATACCAAAAATAAACTTAAATGCTACTTCCAGGCAAGTTCACTGTCAACCACCACCACAGGTTGCTATGAACTCATTTCTCTTACATACCTGCCCAACACTCTGCAAGGCCTTGAGATCATTTTCTGATTTTTCATATTGCTTGGTGAGCTCTTTCAGCTGTTCCCTTACTAGAAAAGGAAAAAAAAACCCACAAGATTTTTCTAATATTCAATCCAACAATAACTCCGGAGTAGGCCGTTTTACAGCAGGAAAGCAGCAGCTAGAGTTAAACCGTGGGAGATCCGCACACCCTCCTGCAAGCACAGCGGAGCCCCTGCTCAACAACTCCAGGGCCTGCACACCCTCAACACAGCGACGCCTCTTAGTAACAAAAATGCACTGCAGGAGTCTAAAAACCCCATTTGATTTAAAAACATCAAATCCAAAGGTATTAGTGCGCCTGTACAGCACTGACGTTTGTATAGGAAGCCACGCTACTTACAGAACGACATAACAGAGGACAGCGGCAACAGGAAAATAAAAATCTGACAGAAAAACCTTACGGGGAAAAAGGCTGAGCAAAGAGAACTGCCCGGCGCGGCTTGCAGGCGGCAGGCCCGACCCTCCCGCCCACCCCAAGGCAAGGGGGGTCCCCAGGGC